TATATATATATATATTACACTACTACTTCGACAAAAGCGAAGCAAACGACTAAAACAAATAAAAAGTTTTAAAGAAAACCTGTATTAATAAAGCAGTCTTCTATTAACACTGGTTTAATTCATTAAGAAAAAGTTTTACTATAAAATCTCTTATTACTTATTACCCTCAGGGGCCCCACACGGGGGGCCCCCTGGGGGCCCCTGGGGCCCCCTGGGGCTGCTGAATGAAGCAGGGAGCAGATATGCAGATATATTTGTGTGTTTTATTTTAATTTATTTTATTTATGTTTTATTTTATCTTTTATTTATCTCTTTTTCTTTTTCTGTTGTCTTTAAGGCTTACTGTCTGTCTGTAATAGAAAAGGAGGGGGGGCCCCTAAAGGCTTGCAGATCTTGAGTGTACATACACCTGAAGAAATGAAGACAACGAAACCCTCCTAAACGGGTTTAGGGTTTAGGGTTTGAGGGCTTGGCGTTCAACGGTTAAGGGTTTAGGGTTTAGGGTTTAGGGTTTAGGGTTTGGAGATGCTGCAGCAGCGGGCGCTGCATGTTGCTGCTGGGGCTGCAGTCTTCGGGGCCTCTGCGTTTTTAGGGTTTCAATATAAAATACGCTCCGCTCCCCCTCCAAAGGAAGAGGCCCTCCCTACAGGTAGCTAGACGTATCTAGCTAGCTAGCTAGCTAGCTGGTTTGTTAGCTAGCTAGTTAGCTAGCTAGTTAGCTAGCTAGCTGGCTAGCTATTTGTGGCTAGCCAGCTAGGCAGCCAGTGAGATAGCTAGCTAGATAGCTAGCTAGCCAGTCAGTGCAGCTAACTAGCTAGCTAGCCACTGCATTGGCTAGCTTGTACACCAGATAGTTAGACAGAAGAGCACAAATAGTTAGCTGAATCTCGCATGCTGCTGCTGCTGCTGCTGCTACTGCCGCTGTTGCTGCTGCTACTGCCGCTGTTGCTGCTATTGCTGCTGGTACTGCTACTGCTGCTGCTGCTGCTGCTGCTGCTGCTGCTGTGGCTGCTTTCGCTGCTGTCGTTGCTGCTACCCTTCAGCGAGCCCATATGTCGGTGTGCAGTGGATGCTGCCTTCCCCTTTGTCGATGGTTTAGGGTTTAGGGTTTAGGGTTTAGGGTTTAGGGTTTGTTGTTTGCAGAGGCAGAGAGAAGACACATCTTTTATACGAAGGCGGAGGGCTGGGACAGAGAGGTTGCCTTTCAAGAGCTGGTGCCTTCTAAACCCTCAAAACCCTAAACCCTCAAAACCCTAAACCCTCAAAACCCTAAACCCTTAATACCCTAAACCCTGAAAGCCCTAAAACCTAAAAGCCCTAAACCATCAAAACGCTAAACTCTGATAGCCCTAAACCCTCAATAACCTAAACCCTAACAGCCCTAAACCCTCAAAACCCTTAACCCTAGAAGCCGTAAACCCTAAGGTCCCCTTTGCACTGCATTGTCCCCTGGCCGCATGACTTGCAGTTAAGAGTGGAGGTTAGGGTTTAGGGTTTAGGGATTAGGGTTTAGGGTTTAGGGTTTAGGGTTTGGAGGGTGTATGTTTCAGCTGCTGGGCATTGGGCGGCTGCGTAAAGAGTTAGTGCGGCAGGCGCAAGGCGATGTACTGGAGGTGGCAGCAGGTCTCGAAACCCTAAACCCTAAAAACCCTAAACCCTAAACCCTAAACCCTAGACCCTTTTGCATTGTATTGCCATGTGCAAACCCTAAACCCTCAGTTATTGTTCTGTCTTTCTGCAGGCACCGGCCGCAACTTTCGTTATTACGACAAAGAGAGGGTTCGCAGCCTCACGGTATGAACTAGGGTTTAGGGTTTAGGGTTTAGGGTTTACGGTTAAGGGGTTAAGGGTTTAGAGTTTTGAGCGTTTAGGGATTTCTGCTTGTTCCAAGGTGACCGGCGTTTGCAGTTCGATGCTGTCTTGGGGTTTAGTGTTTAGGGTTAAGGGTTTAGGGTTTAGGGTTTTAGGGTTTAGGGTTTCTAGGGTTTAGGGTTTAGGGTTTAGGGTTTAGGGTTTGGAGGGTTTAGGGTTTTTAGTTCTTTCTCAGGTGACGGACTTTTGCAGTTCGATGCTGCGGCAAGCAAAGACAAAGAAAGGTGTTTATATTTATTTTTTTTTTTAATTTGAGTGTACAGACACCGCAATGCACTGCATGCAAAACCACCCTCTTTCTTTGTCTTTGTTTGCTTCCTTACGCGCATGCATGCTTATAAATGTATAATAGATCCTACTTGCATTTGTATATATATATATATATATATGTTTATATATATATATATATATATATATATATATTATTTATTTATTTACATGCGCATTAGAAATATTATATATAATATATAGATGATATATATTATATATATAAATATATTTACAGATATCTATAAATATATATATGTATTAATACTGCATATATAGATGCATCTACGCATGCAAGTACAGCAAAGCTAAACAGAAATAAATAATTAGATAAATAAGTAAATTGATGTAATATATATATTGTATATATATACGTCTATGCATGTTGTATGCCCCGCTATATATATTATATATATATTATATTTATATATTATATATATAATATATTCTGCATGCATGCATGCGTGCATCTTGAATACATGCACGCATCTTGTGCATGCAGAAGATTTGCCTGCCTGTCTCTCTGTCTGCATGCATGCAGCCCCGGTAATAAAGACCTGCATGCATGCATGCATGCATGCATGCATGCATGCATGCAATATTATTTTTGTTTTGTTTTTGTGTTTTAGATGAAGTTGGAGATATATCTATTTCTTTTTGTCTGGCGAATGCATCAAAACTACCCTCAAATTTAAAACAATATAATACTGTCGTACAGACCTTCGGTATATAAACCCTAGTAAACCCTCGTAAACCCTAGTAAACCCTAAACCCTAAACCCTCGTAAATAATGATTAACACCAGTAAAGGCTCATTTACCCTCTTAAACCCTAGTAAACCCTAATAAAATCTCATAAACCCTAGTACACCCTAAACCCTAAACCCTAGTAAACACTAAGTGCCCCTAGGGAATGCAGGTAAACCCTAGTAAACCCTCATGAATCCTCACAAACCCTAGTACACCCTAAACCCTAAACCCTAGTAAACCCTCATAAACCCTAATGACACCAAAACGATGAACCCTCTGGTAAGGCCGGAGCTCCGAGGTTGTTGAGGTTTCTTCATGCGAATAAACAGGGTTTAGGGTTTAGGGTTTAGGGTTTTAGGGTTTGGTGGGTGTGCAGCACTTTGTTCTTATGAAGACCCTGTAAAGACACTGAAGGCTTTAGGAGATGTCTTGCTGCCGGTACTCTCTTCTCTCTTTTGCTGCATCAAGACAAACAGAATTAACTCTACTTGCAATAAACCAATTACAGAGTGCATGCATGCAACCCTACAGAATAACTGCATGCATGCGTATCAAACTTGATTAATATGCATGCATGCATGCATATTAATCGTGCGTTGCATGCATGCATGTTAATCTTGTGCTGTATTCATGCATGCACATCAATCTTGTGTTGCATGCATGCAGGGTGGAGCTTTGCTGCTGCTAGAGCACGGTATGTCTTCTTTTTCTCTTTTAAATTTTATTTTAAATTGGGGCTGCAATCATCACGTCCGGCAATTTGGCTGCTTCGCCAATCGCGACATTCTGCACATCGTGCAGCAGGTACACCCCACGATTTTCAGGTGTATAGGCACCTCACTGACACGGTCTAACTCACTCAGGTGTATAGGCACCTCCCTGCCATTGTCTTCGCACTTTCAGGTGTATACGCAGCTTACTACTAGCACACGTTTCTCGTTTCCCGTGTATAGGCAGCTTAGTTACACTGGCGTCTAAATTTAGGTGTATAGGCAGCTCCTTCAAAGCAGCGTGTCAACGCAGATACTGCAGAGGCAGCAGTCGGATAGTGCTGCATTTATCTGTCTCCCTTGTGGGCCTCTTGCTGCTGCTGCTGTTATGCTGCTGCTGCTGCTGCTGCTGCTGCTGCTGCTGCATGCAGGCGGGATTCGAAGTGGTCTCTCTGAAGCGAAGGAACTTCGGTGAGTAGGGTTTGTTGTCCTAGGGTTTAGGGTTTAGGGTTTAGGGTTTGGATCACCGGGTATTATAAGTTTTAGGGTTTGGGCTTTGAATCCTAGGGTTTAGGGTTTGCATCTTAGGGTTTAAGGGTTGAGTATTTCAGTTTTAGGGTTTAGAGGGTTTAGGGTTTGTGGTTTGAATTGAAGGGTTTAGGGTTTAAGGCTACGGGCGCTGCAAGCATCTTGCTGCCGTTCCTGCTGCTACTGCTACTGCTGCTGCTGCTGCTGCTGATTAGGGACAACTTATATGATAGTAGCGAAGAAGAAAGACAGCGAAAGACAGCGAGGAAAAAGCAAATGAAGCGAAAGACATTTAGCTGAGTGTGTTCATTTGGTGGGGTTGTTGTGGTCTCCTCGACGGTGTTGCGGTGTACGTACACCGCAGCACAGCAACAAAAAGACAAGAAAAAGCAGATAAACAAATCACAAATATCTTAACCAGACGACGGCAATCTGCTGCATGCATGAACGTTCGCTCTGCCTCGCAAAGGCAGCAGCAGCAGCAGCAGCTGCTGCTGCTGCTGCTGCTGCCTTTGCGGAAAGGCTTGCTGCAGCAAAAAGGCTCAGCAAGACCTCGCAGCACGGCTACCCCGGTGCTGCAGCTTGTAAGCTCCTGCTGCAGCAGCTGCTGCTGCGTCTGCTGCTGCTGCTGCGTCTGCTGCTGCTGCTGCATCTCATCACATGCAGAAAGGAGGGAGGAGGAGACAGGCTGCAAAGGGTTTAGGTGTCTCCTCTGCGGCGACTTTGTTTGTCTCTTCTGTTAAACCCTCTTTCTTTTTTTTATTGACGCCTCTGGTCTTGCACTAACAAACACAAACAACAAAACCCTAAACCCTAAACCCTCGAGTTGAGAGAGCCTGCGGAGCCGCAAACCTTTGGTCTGCTGCGCCTGCAAGACACCACCAGATATGCTTTAGGGTTTAGGGTTTAGGGTTTAGGGTTTAGGGTTTATATAATTAACCCTAGCCCTCTTTGAATAAGCATATGACGCCTCTGCCGATTCTCCTGCGACGGCGAAGCCGCAAATGCTGCTGCTGTTTTTGCTGCTGCTGTCTTCGCTGCTGCAATTTCTTTTGCTGCTGCTGTCTTTGCTGCAGCTGTCTTTGCTGCAGCTGTCTTTGCTGCTGCTGTCTTTGCTGCTGTTGTCTTTGCTGCTGCTGTCTTTGCTGCAGCTGTTGTTCTTGCTGCCGCTGTCTTTACTGCAGCTATTTTTGCTGCAGCTGTTGTTTGTGCTGCTGCTGCTTCTGCTGCAGCTGTTTCTGCTATTGTTTTGTGCTGCAGCTGTCTTTGGTGCCGCTGCAGCTGCTGCTGAAGCGGCTTCACCGCTGCAGCCCCAGCGCACGCAAGCATGCACTGCTGTATGTATGCATGCACTTCTGCATGCACGCACGCGTTGCTGCATGCACTCCCGCATGCACACATCTGTTGCTGCGTGCACTCGTGCATGGATGCATGCGCTGCTGCATGCACGCATCTGTTGCTGCATGCGCTGCTGCATGCACGCATCTGTTGCTGCATGCACTGCTGCATGCACGCATCTGTTGCTGCGTGCACTCCTGCATGCATGCATGCGTTGCACGCATCTGTTGCTGCGTGCACTGCTGCATGCATGCATGCGTTGCACGCATCTGTTGCTGCATGCACTGCTGCATGCATGCATGCGTTGCACGCATCTGTTGCTGCATGCACTCCTGCATGCATGCATGCGTTGCACGCATCTGTTGCTGCATGCACTGCTGCATGCACGCATCTGTTGCTGCATGCGCGTCAATTAATCGAAGTCGAATTCAACCATATTAATGTTTTCATCATCTTCTTCGTGCACATCTTCTGCTGTTTCTGCTTCTCCTGTTGGAGTGTGGGGTTTTTGTTGGTGTGGGGATCCGATCCCAGGAGTGTTGGGATCGTCGTTAGTCTCCTCATCTCCTGTTGCTACGAAAGGTACTTCTTCATTGTGGCTTTGTTGCGCAGCTCTAAAGAGACTATCTGTTGCTTGCTGCAGCAGATGACGCGGCAGCCCCAACTGCGCAGCAGTTTGCTGCAGTGTAGCTGTTCTGCTGCTGAGTGCTGCTAATTCTGCTGCTGCTGCTGCTGTTGCTGCTTCATCCTCTGTCCCTTCCAGCTTCAAATTTGCTGCTAACTGAGCTATACCCTCTCCTTCTTCTTGCAGTTTGCTGCTCAGCAGCAGCAGCATCGATTGCTGCTGCTCTTCTTGAACCTTAACAACCTGCTGCTGCAGCGATTCCCCCCACGCAGCAGCAGCTTCACCTGTCTCCTGCTGCTGCAGCAGCAGTTCTCCTGCTTGCTGCAGTCTCTCATATATACTGAGCCAAGTATCAAGAGACACAAAGTCAGCAACAGCTGTCTCCTTCGTGCTGCAGCTGCAGTCTCCTTTGCTGCTATCAAACTCAGCTAGCTGCTTCCAGAGCTGCCTCCGCACATTCCTTGCATATAACAAGGAGACACCAAAGGCAGGGTCAAGGGGCCCCCCCTGCTGCTGCTGCTCCTGCTGCTGCTGCTGCTGCTCCTGCTGCTGCTGTTGCTGGGGTTGCTGCAGCAGCAACGCTTGAATTGTCTCCTGGTCTGCTGCAGCAATCTTCTCAATCAAGCAGGTTTTGCTCATGTGGGGTGGCAGCAAGACGCGGCCGTCTGCTGTTAGCTGCAAGCCTGTGGTGCTGCTGCGCTGCTGTATACCTTGAAGACAATCTGCTTCTTGCTGCTGCTCGGGTATAGAGACACCTAAAGTTTGAAGCTGCTCGCGAGTGAAGGGCAGCTCTGCTGCTGCTGCTGCATGCGCACGCAGCAGCAGCAGCTCCATCAGATCCGCATACCCCTGCTGCTGCCCTGTCGTTAATGTAGGTAAGCTGCTGCTTGTGTCTTCATCTGCTGCAGCACTATGCTTCGGCTGAATTAAGAAGACAAGATCTAAGAAGTCGCTCTTCCCAGAAGCAGCAGCAGCATGAGCTACTGCCCCCTCCAGCACTCGTGCTGCAGCAACAAACCAATCAACATATAAACCCTAAACCCTAAACCCTAAACCCTAAACGTTAAAACCGAAACCCTAAACCCTTAACGCTAAACCCTACTCATGACAATGCAGCAACAAACCAGCAACAAAACATACACACGCAAATACCAGCACTCAGGTCTTCCTGATCGGAGGTTTAGGGTTTAGGGTTTAGGGTTTAGGGTTTAGGGTTTAGGGTTTAGGGTTTAGGGTTTAG